GTCCCTCTGTTCATAATCCATTAATTTTTTATGTTCAATATGTCAAGTTCTCTAACCACATATGACCATGTGTCCTATTTCTAAAATATTAATATCTAATAATATTTAATTATAAATTCATATAAAACCAAAAAAAAAAGAAGGCACATAGCCCTTGAAATAATAAGCATAAAGAACTTGAACTTGACATAATTCTTTTCCTCCACAATTTACCTTATTGTTTTCATCACCTGAACTAATCCTAATTAATGACAAGGCGTAAGTAGTTCTATAAAATCTTTTTTTAATTAAAAAGAAAGAAAAAGTGGGGGAAAAAATCATAAAATAGACTTTAGAAATAAAAAAAATTATAAATAGGAGCCCATTACAACATTAATATTGGTTTTGACAACAATTGATAAGCAATTGATAATAATTTTTGTGAACAGGTTCTTATATGCAATTTTTCAATTTTAATGGTCTTTCATTGCAATTTTTCCAAAAAACTATGCCTTCAAAAGTTTATTTAATATTGAAAAAATTAAATGATTTTTAGATTGTTTATAAATTTTATAAGAAATGATTTGTAGTTTATCGAGTTTACCAAATAAATATTTAAATTATTCTTTGTTTGCTTATAATAATGAAGAATGTTTTATTATTCAGTGATTTTTAAATTTTATGTTATCTTTATTTATCTTTGTACTTTCATCAATATTCTTCTCATCGTTTTCACTATTACAAAAAAATGAGATATAATGTTGCAGCCCCAAAAAAATGGGAGCTTTTATGGTATTCACATAAGCAATTTTTATAATAATGGCTCGGTTGGTGAAAGCCTTTATCATGCAGTTGAATGACTAGACGGGTGGTGGATAAAAAATGTACTGCTTGGATTTATGATTTGGTAATTTAACTTTTGCATAAAAAGCCAGTTTAAGTCAAAAAATAAAAAGTAGCTTTTGTTTTTTGTTTTTGAGAAGTAGAAAGAGGAAGTTAAAAAAGAGGTGGATCCTATTTTTAAGAAATTTACTACTTTCTCTTATTCATATTATAAGCTTTAAATAATTAATTTACGGATAATAAAAAATTACTTAAAATTAATTTTGAAACCCTGCTAGATCGCGATCTTGACTTTGCGTTCTGCAGATGGTGTTTCTAAAACAACAGCGTTGCAACACTGCCGAGGAGACACTGGGGCTTCGACTTTCGCCTTGGATATGGGCTCAATCACCGGACTTGGCTCTTGGTACCATGTGAAGAAAAGCATAACATTTTTGGGTCTTTTTTTTTTTTTTTACCACCCCGAAGTCATATATGACACTTTCCACAATATACTGACATGTAAGTTTATTATTTCAGACTATAAGATACCTCCTATCAATCCCAAATGTACTAGAAATGGCAAGCTGGAAAAACGATAGGGGTCTTACAGCCTATGACATCCTTAAACGTTATCCAAAAGATTTCAAAACCTCAAAAATACAAGTCACGCTGATGGACTATTCTGGAATTAGAATTGGGAAGAACGGAATCCACACGCATTCACACTCGTCACCACCAGTTGCAAGACCAAAACCTCAAACTCGAAAGAAGAATTGAAACTGCTTCATAAAGATTTTGAAATGGATTGGAGGCTGGTTCAAACACAAGGGTGACTGGGTAGAAGAAATGAGAGGAAATCTGAGTATAGTGTCCACTGTTATAGCCGCCATAAGATTTCAATCATTGATGAACCCACCTGGTGGCTTGATCCAACAAGGTTTATCTCAAGGTTCATCCAATATTGAGGCCCTACAGTGCACTTTCCTTCCTAACAACGTGTCCTATTGTCCTGGGAAAGTTGTCTTACCTTTTTGTTTCCAAGATCTGTTTTTGGAGTTCGTAATTTACAACACTGTCTCTTTCATTTCATCACTTAGCGTCACCCTGACAAACTCAATTATTTTTATATATTTTGGTATCTTTTATATGAGTTTTGTCAGCTTAATTGGTCCCTTTTTGCCTTAATTGATTTATTTTGTTTTATTTTGAATTATTATTTTATAGGGGCAAAATTGTCATATTTTGGTTTAATTGTGACTAATTGATTTTTGAGGACAATTAATGCTACCTTATTTTTAAATTTTGTTTTCAGGTTTTTGGAAGATTTAAAAATAAAAATAAAAAAAAAGAAGAAAAGAAAAAAAAAATAACAATAATAAAAGGGGAGAGCAAAACGCAACGTTTTGCCCTCCCCCAACCTAATATTCTATAATCATCAGCTGGAGAGGCGGAACACACGCGAAGACGCCGAACACACACACGAACAGAGCTGAGCGGCGGCAACGAACGGGAAGACACAGACGGAAGGCGCGGAGCGGAGGCGCAGTTGGAAAAAGCAGAGAGACGGAACGGAAGCTGCAAGTCGAAAACAGGAGCTGGACGGCGAACACGGACCTGGAGCAAAAGGGAGAGACAGCACCCATCATCTTCTTCTTCTCCTGAACGCAAGCGGCACCAGCGGAAAAACAGAGCACACCGAACGGAAGCTGAAGACGCACGCAAAGGAGCTGAGGGCTGGGAAAAACAGAGGACGTCGACGGCGAGTAAACCAGCAGGCTCGACGGCATTGTCTGCTTCTTCTTCACTGCTGCCAGCAACGCAGGAGAAAGAAATCATCCACTGTTCCATTGTTCCCTCCATGGCAAACCGTAGCAAAATTCTGAATATGACAATTTTTATGGCAAACCGAGGCTAGACTCTATAATTCTCTGATTCAACAATAATGGCAGGAGCTTAGATCATCAAAGGGAGCTTTAGTTGCTTTAATTTCCTGTCTAATAATTGTTTAACAATTCCTAGGTCTTAGGATAGTTATTCTAATTATTAGAAAATAATTGTATTGCTTAATCTGATTATATTTGGGGATTATTGTGACTGGATTATTGTTTAGCATTTGACATTGGGCTGTTTATAGTTTTGATCTCAATTATAATGTTGTGGTTATGACATTTGTATTGATTTTGGAATTAATATATTGTGATTTTCTAAGATGGCTTAGAATTTTGGATCATATAGTCTCTTGCTAGCTTTAATTCTGTTATTTTGGATTTAAGAGTTCTAATTAAGCATTGGTTTTTAGCATCCTTAATCCCATTTTACTATTCTGGTTGCAGTTAGTAAGTTGGGATTTTAAGAAAATATTTTGTGGCAACTCGAGGTGGCTCGGTTGTTGGATCAAAAGCTTAATTATAATTCTTAATTCATTGTTTTTAACTCCCACATCTTTTAGAGTGATGATTGCCTGCGTTGTTGAATTGGAGGATTGATTTTTATCAGTGTTATCTGTGTCTCTCATTTTCATTTCTTTAATTTCCATTCATTTTAATCACTTTTATATAAAAACAAAAAAAAAAGTATTTTAATTAACAGCTTTTCAAAATCAAAAATCTCTTTTTATAGTTTAGGTTACTTGCATTTATTTACTAGGGTTTAATTTCGTTTTCGGCTCCTCAAAGTGAAACGACCCGAGTTTTGCACTATATTGCATTAATTCGGTTAATTTTTGGAGTAACCCCAAAGCGACAGTTAAAGGAAGTTAACTTCACACCCTCTTGCTTGTGAGTGGAGTTCCTATGAAGAACAAAGCTTTGATATGGCTTTTATCCATAGGCATGCGTATCACTCTCACAACCATAGCCTTTGCTTACTTAACTGCTCTTTGTATGGTGATGCCAAGCCATCTTTGGAATAATAAAGCAGGTTGGAGCACCCTTGCAGCCTCAATTTGGGCCTGGTCTCGATTGCTTGTGCTGATTGTTGTGTTAATCACACTGCGGTTTATAATTTGGATCGTGAAGAAATGCGCCAGACTAATCAGAAAGCTGTTGCCATGTGGAATTAGAGAAAGTTGATGCGGTTTCTTTATATATCACATCTCAACTAATGCTATTTATTGTCAGGCCAGTCACAAGTGGCATGGGTTGGTTTTAGCATAATAATTCATGATATATCATGTTTATATGTTTCTCTTATATACTCTCTCCGATCCTAAATGTAAAACCCATTTTGTAGTGTATGTACTCCCTCCGGTCCTAAATATAAGACCCATTTTGTAGTGTGATTTACACTACAAAATGGGTCCTATATTTAAGACCACAGGAGTATTTTAGATCTGATCTGTTCTAAGTTTGTACTTTATAACAAGATTATATTTTCATAATTTAAAATTATTGTCATCTCAATCTACCGATTAATTAAAGTTTTCTGTCAAATTAAGATGTGGTTGTGCAGAAGTCATGTTTATGAACGTTTGGCATCAAAATAGGGAAGAAAGGAGAATTGATAAAACCCATACGCGCCCAGTACCGGAAACAAAGTACCAAAATGTTGGAAGAGAACTTGTTTCATAAGGATTTTAAAACAAATAGGAATTTGATTTAAATATAAGGATGATTAATGGGTATAAGATATGCGAGGAAATCTGAGTCTGGTGATCAACCGTTATATCAATTACCTTTCAAGCTTTAATTAACCCACTTCGTTGCTTCATTCAATAAGGTTTATCGATCTCATCGTCAAATGTTTTGTGCTGGAGAAGAAATCTCATCCTTTCGTTACCCGTGGTCTTGCATGGCCTTAGCTGTATTGCTTGCTCTAATTATCCAGTTGTAATCGTGAAATTTGTTTTTTATGATCTTAAAGCCTATAATGATCAAAGTATTGTAATTTTCGTTTTAGTGAGTTGAAATTCACATAATAAGTACCTAAGTTATTTTTCACCATAATAATGTGCGCCTATATATAATAAGTAGCGAATAAACGAATCATATGTGCAAGAGAAATGAGAACTTTATGTGATAGCAGCGGCAAAATGAGAGATCTTTAAGAGGCATCACTTAGAGGGGGGTATCAATTTTGAACTCATGGGTGCAGCAAAACCCGTTAATCCTCTTCAAGATTTCAAGAACTGCCTTCTGTGAAACTCCTTTCCACGTACGAGCTCGCTAGATCATGTTGAATTCACAAGGGCCCTTCTCATGCACAACTCAAAACTCGCCATTGAGTTGAACTCTTGTCGAAGCACAGTCCTCCATTTGCCTTCTAAGGAGGGTCATGTCTACATTATTGTGAAGGAACTTCAAGTTTTTGACGAAGCATGCTTGGTTCGTGATGAAGAAGGAAGAATTCCTCTACAGTGTGCAGTTATGAGAGGACGATCGAATAGAGGTTGTGAGAGAGTTGGTAAAAGCGAAGCCAGAATCCCTGAGTTATAGTGTTAATGTTGAAACTGTTTATCGCTTGTGCATAAAGTAGAATCATTTGGAGACCCTCCAAGCTTTGGTAGAACTGGAGCTTGCCGTCACCGGCGAGCTTATCAACTTCACAAGCTCTGATAACGCCGGCAACACCGTTCTCCGCTTAGCTATTATGTTGAAGCGACTTGAGGTACGGTTTATCAATAAAACTTTTATTACATGGCTTTGTTTTGAATGACTCCTTAGAATTTATCTTTCTTTTTTCGTCTTGAAAGACGTGTGCCTCAAAACCTTCAATTTTAAGTCTAGGGCTAGCGACAGCAGGATCTCTTTGGCGGGGGTCTGTTTTTTTTGTTCCATATTAGGTTAAAGTATACATTTAGCCTTTTGATTTTATATAAAGTTTCAGTTTGGTTTCTTAATTTTAAAAAGTATACTTTTAGTCCTTTAATCTCAAAATTATTCCTCTTAAATGATAATTTTTTGTAACAATTATGGTTGCTTTGAATATTATATTTAATATTTTAACATTTAATAATGTTTTATCAGTATTCAAGAGCTCAATATTATCATTTCTTGTTAATAGTTTTAGAGTTAGAGAACTAAAGGTTTACTTTATAAAGTTAATGGACCAAATGAAATCTTGTGTAAAATTAAAGGACTAAAAGTATACTTTAGCCTATTTTTTAGTATGTTTTTTTATGGGTAAATGAGAAATAAAAATTTTGTTGTGTTAAAAAAAAAATTGCGCCTTGACCATATTAACTGCGACTTGCTCCTTAAATCCAAGAAATTCGATCGATTAGAACATGTACATTTTACCTTTCTGTTTTGATACTTAATAAAATTACATCGACTATGTATATTTTAGCAGACTTTTCACATCTCGGGAAGACGGGAACTCAATTCTTGCCCATCGATCCTATACCCCAGCAATACACCGACTTGTATTTATTTTTTGTTTTAGATCGTGATGTACCCCTTTTAATTCATACTTGAATCGAACGCGAAGATGATGTTATTTATTGTGTTTTGTTCTTCTGGTAGTGGAAGGCAATAGGGTTAATTTGCATGCTTTATTATTTCTGGGATGCTCTGTTAATTAATGTCATTTGAATTTAAATCTGCAATAAAGATGAGAAAAAGATGAGAAAAGAAAAGAAATATTAATGTTCCTATCTACTTTGGTGTGCTTGAGTTTTCGTTGATGGGAGAGGAGTATAACTATTGGTTATATTCATCATTTTGGGAATTGATGCCGGTGATAAAATAGAGTAGAACATTATATTTAATTAATCATATACAGTTGAAGTATAAACATGGTTAGGATTATATCAAGTCATTGTATTCCAAGCTATCTATAATTGGAAGATTTAACATATAATAATAATAATAATATATCGTACATCGATTGCCAATTCCAAGTGCTAATTGGGTTACATAATTTTTTTTTTTGGCCCCCAATTGGGTAACATAATGACGAGTGTTAATTTTTTGGGACGTTTCATAGATATACAATTGAATTGGTCTAATGGAGACACGAGAACTCAGCCCATGAGATACAGATCGATCCTTTTGTGTTGTACTACCCCCCAAGCTCATATATGATTAATATAAAAGCTAATTAGATTTTAAATATAATAATTTTGATTCATTTTATTTTTAATATTTATTCATTTCTCCTAAAGTAATCGTGACAATTGTTGCACATATTAAATTTTTTATTAAATGATAATTTTAGTCAATACATATTATTAGTAAAAATATTTTAAAGAAAATAAAATATATTTATTATAAATAATTAACTTAACTAATTTTTTTAATTTTATCAAATTAGTCAACTAAGTCTTATAATAAGGACCAGCTATAGTATAAGAATTAGTTTAGCATTCAATTTAATTCTAAACATAAGACCCCAATTCACGTTGTTTTTTATGTTTATTTATTTTTTTTCTAAGGTAATACTTGTAAAAGTTATAGATGTTAAATGTTTCATTAAATAGTAATTCTAACTAATACACATTATTATCAAAGATATTTTTAAAAAGACAATATCTATTTATTACAAATAACCTACTTAACTAATTTTTTTAATTTACTTAAACTAGTCAACTTACTTTTATATTAAGCACCGATGGAGTATCATGTATGGTTTTTGTTTGAGTCATCTAACTTCATTATTGTTTTTTTTTAAAAGAATATTTTGTTAAATTAATTGAAATAGTCACAAAAAACGAAAAAAAAAACAACAGGGGAAAAAAACAGAAAAACTGGATACTCTATCCATAGATCCACTTTAATCCATTATATTGTTGGCTTTAAGCTACATGCACATTACTTGTCAGAATTTAGCTATTACAAGGAAGCTACATGCACTTTACTTGTCAGAATTTAGCTATTACAAGGAACATATCGGATCTAACAACATTATATGTTACGATAAGCATATATATAAATATGTACATATTTTTATGCACATCCACTAAATTATATTTCTCCTGTTTTTATATTATTCATTTTTCTTTAAACTGGGTCATTGTATTTAACTTTTATTGAACCGTACAAGTCCACATGTGAGGATACTGTTTTTAATAATAATTTGCCTGTGGTTTACAATTGGAGGCCGTCGAATTCTGGCCGAACTTCTCAACTTATTAAGCTCCGACTTGTTCCTGATGGAAGGCCCATAAAGAACTTGATCCTGATGGGTCAGACCATAAAATTATAGTAGTCCTGTTGTTCTGGCCCTTCCATTTACTTTCGTTTGGAATTATTAACTGATCTTAAGGAGGCGCATATGACATCAACCTGATGTGTCGGACAAATTAATTATTGTGAGATGTTGGCCTAGAGGAACTATAAAATAATAATAATAATATATCAAACTAAACAACAGGGAAATACTATATATAGAGGTACTTAACGAGAAAGAAGGTATGGTTAAATAATTATCTCTCTTTCTATCTCTTTTAAATGACAAACGAAGAATGCTGGATTCATCAAACATGCCCACAGAAAAAGGTCTTCCGAAAGAAAACTAATTCCATGTGATTGAAATAACGCAGAAGTTAGCTAATTTACATATACCGTGTAAAATACAAATGGAATAAATTGAGGGGCCAGAGATCAACAGCGACTATAAATTGGAGAATGAGTTATCGTGAACTTGCGTTTCTAACTATATTCTTCTTCACTTGGTGTAAAGCAAATAGTAGCTGCTAATAATTTTTCGTGAGAGATGGAACTCGTGAAAATCGAAACTGCTCATCATCATCAGGACGATACGAGAATGACAGTTCTTTACGAAGCATCATACAGAGGATGTGTTTCAACTTTGAACATGCTAATACAGCAAGATCCATTAATCTTGCACAGAATTAACTCGCGAGCCATCCTTATTGAAACCCCATTACACACATCAGCTTTACTCGGCCACCTTGAATTCACCAAAGCCCTTCTTGCTCGCAAACCCAAATTAGCCCTTGAGCTTGACTCCTTCCGAAGCACACCTCTCCATGTAGCTTCTGCAGAAGGGCACATCGACGTTGTGAAGCAGTTGTTGCTGTATTATGACGAAGCGTGCTTCGTTCGTGACCAAGAAGGCAGAATTCCCTTGCACTACGCTGTTATAAGAGGGAGGCTAGAGGTTGTGAAAGAGCTAATTAGAGTAAAGCCAGAGTCTTCGAGGATTCTTGACAAAGGGAAGACTATTTTTCACTTGTGTGTGGCGTACAACCACTTGCAGATCATGAAAGCTTTGATAGAGTTGGCAACTGATGACACCTGCGAACTCCTAAACGAGAGAGACTTGGACGGAATGAACACTATTCTCCATTTGGCTGTCATGTTGAAGCGAGTTGAGGTACTTTTGACTTATTTTTATAATATAATTCTGCAGTACTATATTAATAGCTTGAGTTTACATATACAGCTAGACGCAAACAAAGTCTGCACTAAATTAGAATTTCGCATAATGAAAGAAGGATGATAACAAATATTCTCAGGGACCAAGTATCAATTATTCTATTCGCCAATTTTGTCGAAACAAAAGACTGCGATCTTAATACCTGATAAACCACTTCAAATGCAAGAGCTTACTATTGCATCTCATGAAGACCGCATATATCTGCTGCCCTATTCGCGTTTTTATATATATATATATATATATATATATTTCAATCTTTTATCTGTACTTTTATACCTCAAAAGCATTAAAAATATTTATATGTATTCATTTGATTATTGCCTAGACTGTGAGGTACCTCATGTCAATTCCTGAAATAAGAGAAGCAACAAACTTGACGAACAACATAGGTTACACTGCCCACGATATTCTTCAGCGAATTCCGCAGGACTTCCAGTGCCTCGAAATCCAGGTTATACTGATGAACTACTCTGGCATCAAAAAAAAATGGAGGAACGAACACTCCTGCAGCACTGACGAATAATACTAATGTTGTCGGCCAACAACCAGGGAGACCTCGGAAGAAGTTTTGGAGAAATATTTTGAAGCGTATGGGAAAATGGTTCGATCATAATAGTGACAATAATTGGTTAGAAGACATGAGGGGGAATTTAAGTCTGGTGGCCACTGTCGTGGCAACCATAACCTTTCAAGCTGTATTTAACCCTCCAGGAAATGTGATTCAACAGAGTATATTAGTCAGTTCCAACAGCACCATCAACGAAGAAGACAAAAATTTTACTGGTTTTATAGAATCAAGTCCCCTCGGCTGCTTCCCATTCAAGAGTAATGATGGTCACAACGTTACTCGGCAAGCATGTCCTGGAGAAGCTATGCTTGCTTCTCGTAATCCAGATGGCTTTCAGGATTTTGTATTTTGCAATACCATGTCCTTCATTGTGTCTCTTTGCATTGCCCTTTTGCTAGTAAGTGGAGTTCCTCTCAAAAACAAACTTGTTATGTGGATTTTATGTATAGCCATGTGTGTTGCTCTCACATTCCTCGCGTTTGCCTATTTTGACGCCCTCCTTCTGATCACTCTGCACAAACCTTGGTTTACTCCCACTGATTTAGCGGCTAGCATAGCAGGTGTCACTGGGGAAGGATTGCTTTTACTCGTTAGTGTGTACATCATAACACTCTTGGTTATCTGGTTAGTAAAGATTAAAAAGCATCGGATAAGAGCAACAGAAAAGGAAACAGCTTTTGCTTGATATGACCTCAATCAATGCGTGTGTTGTTGAGGGAGTACTAATATCCCGGCAACAGAGTTTTTTCAAGATTATTGTAGTTGGTGGTGTGTGTTTGTATTGTCTGGGATGCTTTGTTAACTAGTGTCATTTAAATTTAAATTTGCAATAAAATTTTGTTTCTCTGCCGCAAGAGAAAGCAAAGATGTAAGAAAAGAAGAAGAAGAAGATATTATTGTTCCTATATCTACTTAATTTTCGCTTGTGCTTGAGTTTTCATTGATGAGAGAGGAGTATAATCCCGGCTTTCCCTTATTATTTTATCTTATTATATTATTATATTCATAGTTTTGGAAATAGATGTTGGTGATCAAATAGAGTAGAAAATTATATCTAATTAATTATTTATAGAGTAATCTTTAGGTACACTTGCAACCAAAAAAAAAAAAAGGAAAACAGTTGAAGACTATACATGTTTAATATTATATACAGCCCTTTTATGGTCATAAGGGTTATGACAAATCCAACTTGATTATTGCGTGTATTACAAGCTTTCTATGAGTAAAGGATTTGATACAAAATAGTAACAAATACTCTCTCAGGTCCTATATATAAGCTTTATTTTTGGAGATGGCCCTGGTTCAAAATATAAGCTTCATTTTTCAGTTTGTCTGAATATTTATTACTTTTTTCTTTTTTTTTTAGTTGACTGTATTTAGTACACACACTCTCTCATTAGTATTACCCCATATTTTCTCTTTCATCATGTTTGTATTTATTGCCTCTCATTTACTTTCTTAATAAATAGGGCAAATTTTTTTAAAAAAATCTATTTCTGACCTATTTATTATTTTGAACTAATTTTAACAGTTAGTTTGTTAAACGTGATTTAGTTATCTGAAACTTATATATAGGAGTGGAGGGAGTAGTACTAAATAAAACCTCAGCTCGCTAAGAATTTAAAAAAAATGAGATATAAAAGAATATTGCTAACGTATGCATTAATATAATTTACGAACACTAGTGTGACGTAAGTGATAATTTAGTTAACCAGGTAATTTAATATTCAAAGTTCGCTTTCTGGGCAAGACGTTTAATAATATTACGCATTATTGTATTAGCCAAATGCAGAAAAATCATCCTATGAGAAAAAAAGATCATTGACCTATTGTGTGGTGCCGCTTTTGAGCCATCAAACAATACTAAATTATTTAAATTAGAAAAAAAAAATTATGGGCTCTATGCTTCTATGCATAGATCCGTATTAATCACAAGTCAACTCTCTCTCTCTCTCTCTATAAATATAATTAAGCTATTGTTTGAATTCTAAAAATTATATATACAAACCTATGTGCTAATTAATTTATATCAGTAGGTTAACGATGTTAGTGAAACTTTAACACTTATAATATGTTATGCCCCTTCTACCAATTTTCTTTTCGGAAAAAAAAAAAAGAGGTTTCTACCAAAAAAAAAAAAAAAGAGGTTGAATTGGTCAGAATCGGCCGAAAGAAATACAGCCTACGTCTTTGGATTGAATGGTTAACCGGGTGATGAGGATATTATTAGTGTAATGATCAAATGGACGGGTCAAAATTCAGAAAACAATATATTCAAGTAACATTGCCGATAGAGTATAAATTTATTATTCCAATGGTGTGATGTTACGTTCACAAGCTGATTTCTGGACAATGCTTTCACATAATTCGACGGAACTAGAAAATACTCAAGAGGATTCGCCACATCAAATTGTTTTAAAAAAAATACATAAATAAAACAATTGCAACATCCCATTCATGGTTTAGTTTATTAGCCAAATAAATTCCATCTGTGACTAAATAAGAACTCAATGAATGTATTCTTTAAAATAGGATGATGAAATATAAATATATTTATTATATCTTTTAATTTTCGCAACACTGAAGACTATTCAACTACACACCTGATTAGAGTAATCAACGATTAGAACATTAAGAAATCAACGCAGCATACTTTGACAGATTTTTTCAAAATGATGTGTGTTGTTGTGTGTGTATATAATGAAGCATACCTACACCTTTGGCATTCACGGAAGCGAGACAATCAATAATCAAAATGGGAACTTCTCATCGTGAAGAAGACAGATTGAGCGTTCTTTATGAAGCATCATCACGCAGAGGGTCTTTATCAACTTTGAACTCAATTTTGCAAAAAGAACCATTAATCCTCCACAAGATCTCACAAAGTGGCTTCACCGAAACTCCTTTACACGTATCAGCTTTGCTTGGCCACCTTGAATTCACCAAGGCGCTTCTCACATACAAACCGAAACTTGGCTTCTGCGGAAGGTCACATCGACATCGTGAAGGAACTTCTTAAAGTTAATAACAAGCCATGCTTGTTTCCTAATGAAGAGGGCAAAATTCCTTTGCACTATGCAGTTATCAGAGGGAGAATAGAGGTTGTGAAAGAGTTGGTAAAAGCGAAGCCTGATTCTCTGAGCTTTCTTGATGACGGAAACACTGTATTTCACTTGTGTGTGATACACAATCGTTTGGAGACTCTTAAAGGTTTGGTGGAATTGGAACTTGCCATTTCTGGGAAGCTTCTTTACTTCACAAGTTCTGATGGAGTGGGGAACACCGTTCTCCATTTAGCTGTCACGTCCAAGCAAGTTGAGGTATGATTGATATTATCCTTCTATATCTTTATATACAAACACACACACACATATATATAGTTTTCTTCTCACATGAAAGGGTTATATTTTCCGAGAATTATTGGCTGAAACGATAAATCTGGAGTATTGGTGTGATTTCATTGTGTCATAGAGTAAGACAGATGCAGTTTATCACATGACGATATTTTACGGAGTGAGATAAAAATTGAATAAGAAAATCCGAACTTTATCATATAGCTAGCTAGTTCGGTTATTTAATTTAATAACCATTATTAATACGAAAAAATTGGTTGTAATGTTCAGTTTATAATTTACTCCCTCGAGAGAGTTTACTGTTTTTTTCCCGATAGCCTGCTCAGATGGATGATAGCGTCGATGGAGGAAAGATCAAAGAAACTTCGGGTTAATAAGGAAGGAAATGGAGCCCCATCTTCAAATGACCCCACCCTGGCCGGATATAATACTACTCAATAATTCATTTATTATTATTATATTACAGATAATTTGACTTTATGCTCAAGTTTGAAATATTTAAATAGGAGGAAAAGATGAAATTGAAATGCAAAGCTCGTGATTCGTTGACGAGTTTGGATTTTTACTATTCTCTTCTTTTTGTCGTTTACTTCTGCTTTTTCTTTTTTGTCAGCAAAACTATATATCCTCTCTTTCTTGTTTTCTTTCTTTCTAATTATTTTCGTTTTAGCAAATCAAGAAATATGAACAGAGATACACATGTCCGCGCGCGCGCGCTTCGTTTTCCAAGTTTTTCTTGTCATGAGATGAAAGAAAATTACCGTACAGGGAAAATAAGCCACTTCGATCCAGCTGAGTTAATGAGTTTATTGGGCAAAATAAGCAAACTAAAGATAAATTATAAAATAAAAAAATATTTTAAAAATATTTGGGTCTAATGTTTTTGCCCCAGAATCATATGACACCTCCATAATATATACTAACATGCATGTTTATTCTTTCAGACTATAAGGTACCTCCTATCAATTCCAGAAGTAACAGAAATGGCAAGTTTGGAGAACGAAGTGGGTCTCACTGCCTATGAAATCCTTAAACGCTGCCCGAAAGATTTCAAAACCCTAGAAATTCAAGTCATGCTGATGGAATATTCTGGAACCAGAGATGCTGAAAAGAACAGAATCCACACTCCTTCTCACACGTCACCGCCAGTTGCAAGACCTCGAATTCAGAAGAAGAAGAAGAAGAAGAGAAACTGTTTGATAAGGCTTTTGAAATGGATTGGAGGTTGGTTCAAACACAAGGGTGACTGGGTAGAAGAAATGAGGGGAAATCTGAGTTTAGTGTCTACCGTTATAGCCACCATAACATTTCAATCATTAGTTAACCCACCTGGTGGCTTCATCCAACAAGGTTTATCTCAAAGCTCATCCAATATTGAAGCCCTAAACTGCACTATCCTTTCTAACAACAAGTCCTATTGCCCTGGGGAAGCAGTCTCATCCTTTCGTTCCCAAACTCTGTTTCTTCGATACGTAATTTACAATACCATCTCCTTCATTTCATCACTTAGCGTCACCCTCTTGCTTGTGAGTGGAGTTCCTATGAAGAACAAAGCTTTGATATGGCTTCTATCCATAGGCATGTGTATCACTCTCACAACCCTAGCCCTTGCCTACTTAGTTGCCCTTCAAATTGTCATGCCAGATCATATTTGGAATGATAAAGCAGCTTCGATCACCTTTTCAGCTTCAATATTGGCCTGGGCTGGATTGCTTGTGCTCGTTCTAGTGTTAATCACACTGCGCTTTATAATTTGGATTGTGAAGAAACTTGTCAGAGCAATCAAAAAGCTATTCAGGTGTGGAATTAGGGAAAGTTGATGCTGTTTTTCTTCACATATCACATTTCAACTGATGCTGTTATCTGGCCGCGCTCAAGTGGCGTGGGCTGCTCTTAGGATTATAATTCATGTTATATGAGGGTTATGTTTCCCTTCGTGTAATAATATTATTCAGTTTTGAGTTCCCACTTGTAATAAAATTATTTTCCGATAATTTAACTATGTTATCTCTATCTACAAAATGAAGTTCTCTAATTAAGATGTGTTTGGGTAGAACTCGTATTTATGACCGTTGGCATCAAAATAGGGAAGAAAGGAATTGATAACACTCATCCACACACCAACCTCGGGAAACAAGTACCAATATGTTGGAAGAGAAATGACATTGTTTCATAAAGATTAAAACAGGAAATGGGTTTAAATATAAGGATGATTGAGCAGAAGAGATGAGAAGGAATATGAGTCTGCTGATCAAATTTTATATCAAATATAACCTTTCAAGTTTTAATAAACCCCCCTGGTGGCTTAATTCACCGAGGTTTATCTCAAGAATTGATTACATCATCAAATGTTTTGACGGTGGTAATGGTTCTTTAAAACTAGAAGGAGGATAGATGATGAAAAAAAGTTGTGCACTCTATCTTGGAGAGTAAGTAACACTTTTCTTTAATTTATTTCATCTCCACCTATTTCAATCTTTGGTTAACAAATCTGGAAAAAGTCATAAAATGTTATTTCATGAAGATTAACGTCCTCCTAATAGCATGTAGAAATTTCTTAAAATAACACAACATTTTACCAGTTGTAACTCTCTACACAGCCTTTTTATATAAATGTCTTAATTTATAAAAACATGAACTTTTAAAAGCATATCTCTTCACTTTAAAAACATTTCCAACATGTTTCATTTCGTATGGCCTGAGCTAGATTGCTTGCGAAGAAATACGTCAGGATAATCAAGATCTCTATGTAAATGACCGAGGAATGAGAACGTAACATATGTGTTTCCCATATGATTTATTTCTCAATTAATTTGTTTTGTTGTTTGGCACTGAGCGACAAACAATGTGGATTAATTTTACTGTTGACTGACTAACGAACACTTACTTTATTTGTGTTTACATGGTTTATTTCGTAAGCTCTAAGACACTTATCATGATTATATGGCTTAATGATATAATATTTGGCTTAATTATTTTTCATGTGATAATTAAAAATTTGGGCTGAGTTAACTCACTTTCTACTAGGGAGAGAGAATTTCCAACAGAACTAAAAATTTCATGGAATTTCCATTCCGCAGGGTTGCAATTCCTTTCCATTTAACCTACACCTATTACCAAACACTTTTTTAGCTAACCCTAAACTACGTCGAGAGGTTGCAAAAGGCTAGGCGACGATTAGAAAAAGCGGGTTGTGAGACAGCGAACAGAAAAAGAAGAAAGCAGAAGAGGAAGTCGCAAGCTGCAGAAACCATTAGGCGATTATCCTCATCTCATCCTCATTCACACCCAACGTCCCATGCACACCGTTTTCACCATCCTTCTTCCGCCTCCGTCAAATCATCTTGATCTTATCGCGTTCTAACATGGCTGAAGCTTCTCACTCGATGGTGGCTTCTGTGATGATGCATAGGTGTGACTGAACGTCCCTTCTTCTGAGGCAGTGAGAAATTGTCCAATAGCTCTTCTCTGCGTTATATTGTCTTATTGTTATTCTTTTTGAAGGCAAGTTCCATTTTTTTCCACATCAAAATAAAGTTTGAACGAGGCACTTGGTTCAACTGGCATAGAGTTGCGTTGTACCCGTTTGGAATCCTAAAAGTGCAGCCACGTTAGATAGTTTTTTTTTTGGGGGGGGGGGATGATTTGCTTTTTTTTTTTTTTTTAAATCAATGAATACAAAACCGTATCGGAGTGAACGACGGGATATACGAAACAGCAACCGAGATAACTTCCGACTTGTTTCACATGGTTTACGCACTTTGCTAGTTGCGCTGTTTCAGACCGCTTGAAACTGCTCTTTGGGCTGGAAGCTGAAGTTGACCTGGGACTTGACTTTGTAAAAAGTACTCCCTCCGGTTCTAAATATAAGATCTATTTAACTAATTTAATTAAATTAAGAAAGTTAGGTAAGTTAGTTAATTATAAGAAATATGACATGTTTTTCCTAAAACACCGTAGTCATTTTTCTTAATATCCTCTCTCCTTCTTATTTGATTATGATTGAAGAAATATCCATAAGGGTAATTTAGAAAAAAATTGATAAATATGAGAAATAGATCTTATATTTAGGATCAAAGTCAACTTAACAATAAAGTCCTATTTTAAGGAGCAGAGAAGTATTTTATTATATTTCTGCCCACTCAATACGAATTAATATGGGCCCAATTAAGTTCTCTAACTAAAAACGGAGCACATCCAATATGTCACGTAATCCAATTCAAAATAAGGTCAAAAAAATTGTAAACCCTTAATCTCTATGAACTCTTCATTCTCCATCCCTCCCTCATTCTTTAAAATTATATTCTTTAGATGACTAGAATCAATTATATTCTTTAAAATAATTATCCTCCGATTCGTTTAATAAGTTTCAAATAATTAAACTACTATATCATTCAAAAAAAATAATTAAACTACACAAATCAAACAATTAACTAAAATTGGTTAACAATAATACATAATTCAAAAAAATACAACTTATTTTCTCACAACACCCTTATTTATTAAGAGTGTGAATGTGAGAGAGAATAGGTGAAAAGGGATAGGACAGAATGAGTAAGAAAAATTAAATAAAAAATATATAATTAATTAGGAATAAAAAAAAACACATTAAATATTAAACATCTTCCAAGTAGCACTTTTTAAAAGGATTTAACCCATTCAAAAAATTAAAGCATATAAAAAAGGACGACGTGGTATTAATTATTAAGTACGAATGGGAAAGTTTATGCGCTATTATAGGGTCCGTTTGGATCAGGGATTAGAAAAAGTAGCTTATGGAGAAGTGAAATTGGGTAAAAGTTAAATTAGATAAGTTAAATTGTGTTTAGATTGGAGTTTAAAAAATTTAGTTTGTAAAAGTGAGATTGGTAAAAAGTTATTTGGATTATGATTGGGTAAAAGTAAGTTTATTTGTAAAATTATCAAAATGGGTATGAGTTTTAATAAATTATAAAACATGGTTAAATTATTCATTTTTCAAGTTAATCATTATAATAATCATAGTTCTAACTAATACACTTAATTAATAAGAATATTTTTAAAAAGATGATATTTATTTATTACAAATAACTAAGTTAAATTTTTTAATTTTAATCTATTATATTTGTTGGTTTTCAGAATAATTACTCACTAGTGAAGATAAATATTTTTGAAGACAGCCTGACACGCACATGTGCACGTCACTCTCGCACTCTTCTAGAGCTGCTTCTCACCGCTCGCATGGATTGCAACAAGCTCATCCCATCAGCTTATCAAAACGCACGATGCAATGTCACTTTTGGTCCTGAAGTGAAATGGTTAAAAAGCTCTCCCAAACTGCCATCAGCTTATCCAAACGGACTTATCATCAATTTAAAGATGTGTTTGGAATAACAGTGATAAAAGTAATTTTTTTTCAATTTAACTTTTATAGAAGTGAGATTGAGTAAAAGTTAGATCATGTAATGTGATTTATGTTTAGATTGAGTTTTGTAAAAAAGTCAGTTCGAGAAGTTGAAACTTATTTAGATGATAAATATAAAAATAAGTTTAAATGTAAAATGACTGAAAAGGATATAAATTTTATTAAATGATACATATTTAATCAAAATTAAAATTATAAAAATAAAAATAGTTATTTTTAAGAATAATTAAAACTAAAATAATATATTTAAATTTTAGGAAAAATTGAGAAAAAGTCCTCCTATCAAAAATATAACTAGTGAGAAGCATTTAAATCATAATACAAGCATTCTATATCTATAATATTTACACTTAGTATATAAAAATTTATCAATTACTTCTTACTAATTAAATTTTTAATACAACATTTTTCTCAGTTTTCCATAGATTTTATAAATATGATAGAAAATAATAAAAAATAAAAAAAATTATTTTTAAAAAATGGTTTTATTATTCAAAAAATAATTTCTTTAACATTAAAAAATGGCTGGGCTCAAAAATTAAAAAAAAAAAACACATCATGCATAAAACATTCTTTCTCCTCCCTCACTCATGGGCCCCACCTATTCAACCGTGCTTGGAGAAGCTAAAAGCCATGAATTTGAGCTTTTGGAAAAAAAGTTTCTTTTTGGCATAAGTTCATTTGCCTTTAAAGTCAGTCCAAACATGAATTTTAAAGAAAAAGTTGCTTTTCTTAGCTTTTGCGGTGAAGAAGTCAGTTTGGAAGTCCTGGCTGTGATACCAAACACACCCTAAGTCACTTTTGGTCCAACAACGGCTCATCCAAATAGGTTGATAGTTTATTTATGCTCTGATCAATGAGACCAATAAGAATGCACCAACTCAAATAATTTTAAATTTATGTGCCAGCTAACTATTTTTTGTTATTTTATTTGTGGCTAAAATACACTTTTGGTCTCTTATCTTTATATAAGGTTTTATTTTAGTCCCTCAATTTTAAAAAGTAAATTTTTAATCTTTTAAATCTACAACCATTAACAAAAAATGATGATATTGAGTTTTTCAATATTGATAACACATTACCAAATATTAATATATTAAATTTAATTTTTAAAATAATCATGATTATTATAAAAAAATTATCTCTAAGATTAATAATTTTAGGATTAAAGGATTAAAAATATATTTTTTAAAATTAAGAGCAGTGATGTGAAAACCGGACTGGACCGGACAGTCAGACTAGTCCAGCCATCAACCGATGAGTTCAACAGTTTAGTTTACATGATTGGACCATTTATATGGTTAGACCATTTTCAACCATTCAAAACCAGTATTTGAGCCGAAAATCAGGGTTTGGCCGGAAACCGGAGCTAGCATAGAAAAACCGGATGGTCTGAATAATGAAAGAAGTTCAAGAAGATGACGAAAGGGGGGGTAGAAGAAGAAAAAAAATCTAAGAAAAATAACAGAGAAAATAGAGGTTAAATTTCAGCAAATAACTAACTCGGATGTATTTCAATCACAAACTGAAATCCATCTTTGGAATGATCTGATAACCGCAAAATAAAAAACTTGCACCATAAACACCAGCGCCGACAGAGAGAAACACAGAAAGTTGAATGGCCACGACTTCAATCACGAAGATGGGGTTGCAACTTACAAGAGTGAACTTCTTTTCTCACCATGTGCGTCCCTTTGATTTGATTTTAAAAACTAAAACGAAGCAGAAATTTTGACCCAAAAAAAACGGAGCAGAAATAAAATTTCGGTCAAAGGCTCAAAGCCTTAGAGCATTAGAAGCTGTAAAAATAATTTAATATTATTAAATAAATTATTTTCTGCCTCCTAATAATTAAGTCTATGCTATTTTCTAAACAAATTAAGAAATATACATTAAATCTTTTATAATTTTTTCTTAATAAAGCTTACAGAATAATTTATAATTAAATTTTATATATTATAAATTAAATTTTTATGCATCCAATTTTATTCTTTTGTTTATAAAAATTTTTTAGATATTAATTTATTGCTTATTGTACTCATAATTTGACATATTTGTGGTGCTATTTAGAATTTAATATTATATTTCTTATTCATATATTATTATATATGTATATAATATTATATTTAACAGTTGAGCCGTAAAAACCGTGACCGATTTTTCCGGTTCAATCTCTAATCCGGTTTTTAAAATATTAGTTAAGGAATTAAATTAAAATCTTATATAAAATCAAAAGATCAAATATATACTTTAGTTTTTATTTGTTTTAAAAGTAAAAATTGGTTAGGTTTAGCAAATTACTCAACTACCCCTTCCTTCATTCTTTCTCTCTCTCTCCACCTCCATTCCTTCTCTCTTCGTCTGGTCTCGAACCACGGTCCGCACGTACCCTGAACCTTAGATTGCCTCTCTTTCCTCTCTTTCTCAGATACTCTCTGCCTTCTCTCTTTGTTCTGTCTCGGATTGCCTCACCTTTTCCATACACTGACCGCCTTTCTTCTAGAACCACCATTGAAGCGTGTCCTCAATCTCTCCCCATTTCCACGATGCTGAAGACGGACTGTGGTAGATGGATTAAAAACGCACTTGAGAAGGAAGCACCGTCAAAGCCTGTGACGCTCTTCATCTCTTTTTGTTTTCTCCTTGACTGTTGATTCCGGTGGTTAAGACGTTATGAACGGCACAGGAGAAAAATCTACTGCTCTTCATTTTATTCTCATCCTTACTCTTCTACTGTTATGGCATTTTCCATTATCTTGTCGAATATATGCCTCTAAATTGTTTTTCATATATTCCCTTTTTGCGGATCTGGGTTGATTTTGTAGTTCTAACGGTTATTTAAAAAAGCAAAAAAAAAATTAACTCATACTGAAAGCTAGAAGCCAACAATAGAGGGACATTTCTGCTTCATTTAAAAAGGAATGGAGTTTTATATGAGAACCAAAAAACAAAAATCTTATTTTGTTACAAAGTGCCGGTTGGGCGGCGTTTTAATGGCGAGTGGCGACAAACCAAAGAAAGAGAAGTGACGGGAAGAATGAGTACCCAAAAAAAAAAGTAAATAAAAAAGATATATAATTAATTAGGAATAAAAATAAAAAACACATTAAATATTTAAAGAACTTTAAAGTTTCACTTTTTCAAAGGATTAAATCGTTCAAAAAATTAGAAAAATTGGTAAAACAATCCCTATTTAAAATTTTAATTGGTCAAAAGGACTTAAAATTGTCCAAATACAAGTATAATCATTGAATTGCACACGGCGGATGATATGTTGTACTCACGGGTCATACTTGTACTTGCACAATTCAGGTTTTTCTGACCAATTAAAGTTTCAAATAGAAATTTTTTACTAATTTTTTCCAAAAAATTGGAACACATAAAAATTAAAAAGGGACGAGGTGGTATTAATTATTAAGTACGAATGGGAAAGTTTACGCTCTATTAACAAAAGCCCTCACGTTCAAAATTTTAAGTGGAGCCTGGCATGTGCGCGTGTGAGGTGTGCGAGTGAAGCCGCCCCTTGTAACCAAATAAAAAATAAATAAATTTTAAGTGGAGCCCAAATAGAAATAAATAATTTTAGGGAGGCTTTGATTTGGGCCCGGACTTTAATTCCGAATATTGAAAATCAAATTATTGACAAGGAAAATCTCGCCGACATTTTTATAGTATAATAATAAAGGTGCGGCCGGCAAAAAAACATAAAAGGTGCCGCATATAATTACTGTGATAAAAGAAATCAAATTAATTAGTAGATTAAAAGATTGTGGTATGGGAGGCTTTTATTTTGCCTAGTTTTTGATCAGTAAGAATATTTAATCTTTGGATATTTCATATTTGTTAATCCACGAAAGAGTTTAAATATGTGATATAACGCCAAAAATATAATATCCGTTATTTTATAATTTATGATGCACGTGTCATTTAAATTTTGAAGCGGGATCTGGGATGACGATAACAAATGAGAAGTGGCGACAGGATACGAAGGCGTATCTCTTGTTTATTCTATACTACCTCGAATATGAGGTCCCTGCAATGGCTTTTGTAATACCGTTAGTTAAATGTTAAAATTTTTTATAAATTTTCAAAACCACCTTTAATCAAAGTAAAGTCATTATTTAAGTTAAAAGTCATCAAAAGTATAAGAGCATTTTCAAAAATGTGTCATTTTAAAGACCAATAAGCAGAGTCTTATAAATAACATCGTTGAGGGAGGGACATCGGAAGGTGGCCAGGCTCCTATACTTCATGAGAAACCAGAAAAAGTATATATAAATTCTAAGATTCCCTCATCGATGAATTTAAGCCATTGTTGTTACTTTCTGCCTTACCTTATTGGTAATCTCTCACTTATGTATTTGTTTTTTAGACTTCCATCTGGGCTTATTAGGTTTGATCAGACCAAAGAACTAAACAAGAAGCACCTTATAATTGTCGCTAAACCCCGAAATCTTTAGCCATATATATGCATATGCTTTTCAGATTTCTGCTTGGTATATTTCATTTAATCAGACCAAAGTCCTTCAACTAGACAAAAAGCCATATTATACCAGATAATGGGCACAATCCCAAAACAAATTCATCAAGCATGATACTACTGAATGTCACTAAAAAATGGATAAAAAAATCCTGCTGAAACAGTTGTCAAGAACGATTTTCTCCAGTAGAAATTTTATCATCACATATGCAACAGCGTAACATGAGAGGAATATATATAGAAACGTAAGCACAACAACATAAGCTTGGCAGAGAAAATATAAAACCAAAAACACAGCAAAAATAACAACAATCCTAAAAAAACCTATTCATGCGTGACACAATACATTGCATGTCTCTTGCCGCCTGACGACACAGAAGGCATAAATTGGCAGATACAGATCAGCAGCAAAGTCTTTTTAACTTGTTGATAATCCGGCAACATTTCTTCACTATCCAAATGAGAAAGCGCAGTGCGTTAAACAACCCAATTAGAAGGAGAAACTCACAAACCCAGACAGCTAATGCAGCAATACAGAAGCTGAACACTACGTCGTCATAAATATGATCTGGGACCATAATTGCGACGGCAAAGTTGAATGCAAGTGCAAGAAAGAAGAGAGTGAGAGACATGCCTATGGATAGAATCCATATGGCAGCGCTATTCTGCAAAGGAACTCCACTTACAAGCAAGAGAGTGACACAAAGTGACGCATAGAAAGAGATAGTAAGGCATACCACATACCATGTAAATGGATTTTGGTGACCAAAGGATGAGAGTGCTTCCCCAGGACAATATTGTCCTTTAGAAAGATTCATGCAGCTGAGGGGCGTAGATGGTGGTAAGGTGGTATTCGAGTGTTCAGATGATGAGGTGGTATTATTGTCTTCAGATGATGATGAGCCTTGTTGAATGAAGCCTCCTGGTGGATTAATTAAAGCTTGAAAGGTTACAGTTGATATGAAAATAGATGCCGCACTCAGGTTTCCCCTCATCTCGTCTAACCAATGAGTATTACCCCCATGATTGAACCGATTTTGTATCCATCTGAAAGTCTTCTTAAAGCAGTCTCCAACAGTCGATGTTTCTGAATTGCCAACGTGGTCCTTTGTCAACATGATGAGTTTCATTTCGGCGGTTTTCCAGTCTTCTGGACTACGTTCGAGGATATCGTAGGCTGTACGGCCTTTCCCGTTCTGCGCCCTTTCTAATTCTCTTCTTTCTGGAATTGATAGCAGATACCTTACAGCCTAAATACAAACAAGTAATTATTAGCAAGGTATTCGGATCGATCTATTGCGATTTGTGAATGCGTTGTGTTCATAAATAACCATGTTCTTATATATTCATATCAGAACCAGCCAATTGTTATATGTTAACATATTGATATGCCACTAACTCAAAATAAACTCCTGAAGAAAATTAAAACACGTCTATATGTTTCTTCGTAACAAGATAAAGTGAATCAACAACACACGGCGTGTGTTTGGAAAAATGTTTATACATTAATATTTTGTTCTTGTCATGTAAGCGTTTGGCTACCCAAAAGAAAAAGGAAACTGCGACCACAATTCAGAAAAAGAAAAGGATAGAAGAATAAAATATGTATCATGTACCTCATCTCGCATGTACATGACGGCTAAATGGAGAATGGTGTTTCCCGTACGATCAGGGAGTGTAAAGATGGAAGCACCCGTGCCTACAGTAACATCGGCAGTGACATAGTTCAATTTCACCAATGCTTGTAGAGTCTTGAAATGGTTATATATGACACACAAGTGAAAAACAGTGTTTCCTTCTAGGTCAAGACGACCCAGAGAATCTGGCTGCGCTATGACCAACGCTTCCACAACTTGTGTCCTCCCCCTCATAGCCGCATAGTGCAGAGGAAGTCTTCCTTTTCCATCAGCAGCCAAGCATGGCTCATCATTAAATTCAAGCAGTGCCTGCACGGCCTCCAAGTTATCCTCCGCAGAAGCCAAGTGGAGGGCTGTTCTTCCAGAAGCATCCTTTCTAGTGGCAAGGTCACCATTACGATTCAGAAGAACCTGTGTGAATGAAGCATGATTAAGCAGTGCAGATATGTGTAAGGGAGTTTTACAACCATCATGTGGAATGTTGTCAAGGATTGATGCGTTTTGCTGCAACAAATGCTCCAAAGCTTGTACATCCCCACGACGTGCTGCCCGATAGAGAGCACTGAGAGTGAGATCTCTCATTTGGCTATTCGCGTTGTTGTTACTTACGTTGTTCTGTGCTAGGTAGCGCTCACCAGCTATATGGTGGGTACCCTATATATGGACATGGCTAGTTTATTATAGACCCATTCTATAGAGTGATGGAAATTTCCCATAAATATATTTTTTATTCTATAAATCACTATTAAAAAACAATTTATAAACTGTTCTAAATGGATCATAATCTCACTCACTACTACTTTTCTGTATCATACACCGACATTAATTTTCTGATATTTCCAAAAAAAAACTGACAAATAAATTTTTTTAAAAAAAAGTAACACATAAAATCGAACTAAACCTATTGGGAAAATTGAAGATCGTGAAAAGGAGAGAAAGAAGTATTGTCGCTTAGCAGTAATGTGGAGTCAAATCATACTGGGATATATCAGCACGCTTTTCACGCATGTGTGGTTGTGTCTGGCAAGAATTGTACTCCACCGCGTTTCTTCATGTTAGAAAGAGAAATCACAAATAAAGGAGATGAGATTATTAGAATAAAATGTGAGAACAAAGACGCAGAAAAAGATGCATATCCCTCCAATTACGCACTTAGAAGAGTTAATGTCTCAATACTGGTCAAAAAAAAAAAAGGAGTTAATGTCTCGAGTACTGTATGACTGCGGTGATATCATCGTTTATTTAGACTTAGAGGTGTTTGTATAAAACCAAACCATGGTTTAGAGAATAGTTTCTGGATAATAGATTTTGTGAAGAATAGATTTTGTGAAAAAGTGATTCTGATAAATGAGAGTGTTTGGATAGTTGTTATCAGAAGAACTTTTTATATATACAAATTTTACTAAAAAAAGCATAATTTAATATGATGATTACATAAAAGATAGATTTTATAATATATTTTAATTTGAAAAAATAAAATTGCTAATAATATATTTTTTACCAACATAATTAATAATATATAAAATAATATAATTAATATGTATATATATTTATAAAATATGAAATTAAATATGTTTATAAAAAAATAATTGAGGAATGTTAAAATTATATTATCGTTGAGATCTACTCTACAGGCACAATCATACTATCCCATTTGAACCAGAAGTAGAAAGGATTCACTTCTTCTGAAACTATGGTTTTGAGCTCCAAACCATGGTTTTGACCCAAAACCATGGTTTCTGTTTTTTCCTGAATGTTTGACAAGTTTGGAACCCAAAACCATAATTTTCTATGTTATCCAAACAGGCCCTTATTCACAAAAAAACAGAGAGAAGACCACAAGATGTGACCCTAGGGCGGGGACATCGCCTCCCAAAATGTCGGTACATAGGAAAATTCTTTATAAAGGAATGGAAGAATAATTTTTGAGATCATTAACTTAAAAACAGTGATCCAATCGTTCTCAAGGGATAAACCATAGTAGCTAGTTATATATTTGGCCAATAAAACAGCTAGTTATATATAAGTAAATGCGAACTGGTTTTTTTAAGATATCTTGTTTAATTATTTGTATTAGAAACTATTCTTTTGATCCTATTCATATAACTTACAACATGCTTTTTTAAAATTAAGAAAAATCTTGAACTTTGTTAATAGTCTCAAAATTTAATAATTTTCTAATCTCACCCTCATTTAATGCATATGCTTTTTTAAAAAAATAACAGCTACTGTACATAATAATAAATGAAAGAAAATATTACAGGAATAGTCTATTATTGATGAAAATATTGATTTGATATGCATAATTAGTAGAGATAACTTGGGAGAAAATTATAAATTTAGAATACAAATATTATTGAGATTTCACATTTAACACTAAAGCAAATTTTTCAACTATCTCTCACTCTTATTAACAAGATACTAAAAATCAAACCGATCAATGAACCAGTCAAGGTATTGGTTTAAGGGTTAGTAGGTTAGATCGGAGTCAACTCGTAATTAGACAGGTAATAATCAAAATAATATAGTTTAATTAAAATATATAAAAATATTTATATTTTTAATTATAAAAATATAATATCTCCGAATTACAAAATATTCGTATGTGTATGAATTTTTCTCTCCATTATATTTTTCTTTGTTCTCTTTCCTGTGACCCAATCTTTCCTCCTCTTTTCTTAATTATTTTGCTCTTTATTCTTTTTCTCTCACACACGCGTTCACTTACCTCCCTCCTCTCCTCACACATCATGTGCTCAAATCAGTGTTGTCCTTTCATTTGCGTTTCCTTCGCACTCATCATGGCAGGTTTGGAGGCAGATTTCTTTCACACTTCCTTCTTCTCTCTTTTTTGAGAGCGTCCATGGCTTCTCCACGCCTATCTGGTGAGTCGTAGTGAAGAGTGGCAGGAAGATCTTGCCATCACGGATTAAAAAGAATGATGGCGAGAAGACAACCACAGCAGCAACACGGTTTAGATTTAAGAGCAAAAGAATCCGACAACGGTCTGTGTCTTTCAATTTTTTTTTTTTAAGTTTTTGAAACCAGGGAACTAGGGAGCTTTAAAACAAGTAAACAACTCAGTAACCCGCTTAGACCGACAGGTTGAACAAGTTAATCCCGGTTTATTCTAAGTTTATCCGAGACATGCTGGTTCATTTTGTCACCAGTTTTGTCAATTATCAGGACCAAACAGGTTACAGTTCCCCCGTTTCCGGCCTGAACCGGCCAGTCTGGCCTAGGATTTTATTCCTTGATAAAACTCACACATCCACTGGCTCGCCACGTCGCCATGGGCTCATTTAAAAAATTAACAGTGAGAAAATTATTTTTTATTTAAAATTCTATACCCATTGACAAACTTATGTTTTACATGCATTTTCACATATTTTTTTGTGGGTTTTTGTTATTATTATTGGCCCTTAATTGTATTATTTGAATATAATTCATATTAGAGTGTTTTAACTTGAATTAGTGCATAATAGGAACAAATTTGTCATAATTATAATTTATTGATTTTTAAGGACAATTAACGCTACCTATCTTTCAATTTTAACTGCAAGATTCTTTTTGAAGGATTAAAAAGAAAAGAAAAGAATAAATAAAAAAAAAAATAGTAAAAGAGGGCCCGGGAGTAAAACGCACTGTTGTACTACCTGCCCTAAAATATGCATCATCATCTTCGTGAGAGGGCAGAGTGGAGCGGGGGTCAACGGCGGGAGCAAGGGAAAGAGCGAACCAGAGTGGAGGAGAGACGAACTCGACGGCGTGCAAGACAGAATGAAGGACTAGAGGTGCTCGATCTGTTCTCCATTAATCTTCTTCTCCGTTGAACCTTCCTGGTGGCAGGGAGCTCGCAACGAGCAGAGGCAGACCCGGGGGGGTGAGAACCAGAGGAGTCGATGGCGAGAGGCAGAATCACCGTCATCACCATTTCCGGCCGGATTCCACTACTTCCACCGATCATCTCCCTCATTCCTCCCAGTCCGACGCATTCCCCATCACAGGTCGCGATTTGATGGCTGATAGAAGGCATGAAGCTCGGTGCAGCTACCTTCCGGTCATGAGCTTGTGATTTCGCCCCTCCTTGGTGTCTGATGAAGCTACTCTGAGTTCCTGAGCTGACAGGGAAGTTCATTTGTATCTATTTTCGGTTTCCACTCTCTTGTATATGCCGATTTGAGTTTCTGGTTTCAGGACTTAGATTGATGCATTAGGGGAGGATTATTACTGGGTATGTACGATCAGGAGGAGATTGATACTTGCCTTGGATTCGTGTTTCTTGAATTATAACATGTTACGTGATTGTGATTCATTTGACTCATGGTTCTTGAACGTGGTAATTGACATCGCGCCTACACCACCAGTTGACATAGAAGCCGATGTCAAAAACTCATTTTAAATCGAATTAATTTTAAATGTTACATCGAATTTGATAACACTCAGTTCTTTCCTTTTATTTAAACCAGGAATATTTTTTACCCCAATTTCAGGGTTCATTGTTATTAATCAAAAAGAGAAAAATGCGTTAAAAGAAACAAAGATAAGAATAAATCATCACAAAATGGATTATATATTATATATTTTTTGTGGGGTGCAAAGGCAGCCTTTACAAAATATTTATTAAAAAAAAGATTACACTTTTACTATTGTTTTTTGCCATTTCACCATTGTGGGGCTACTAACAATAGTAGACAATGAAGATGGCAAAGAATAAAAGTTAGCTTCTGACCTTAAATAAACGATGATAGGACATGGTAACTGTTTGAGTTTAGACTACTTCAGGGGAACGAAAAGACAAGGGATATGCCAATATAAAGATTAGTAGCATCAGTTGTTTCCAATGACTAATGTCATTTAAGTATATTTACATCAGTTGGGTTAACGTTCGATATAAAAAGTAATAATGACCCCAGACGTAATAATAACCGGTGTAAAAATTGTATCATTATTTACAAATATGCCATTACCTCATTTATTACATCGTCAGCGCAATAAGCAGAGTAGATAAGGCAATGTAAAAAGATGTTTTTCTAGTAGTGGATATTTGATTAAAAATGATTGTGCTAAGTTGTTAGTTCAAGCATTGAACTTTATTTTTTAAAAGATGATTCGATGATTCATGATTAAGTCAATCATTTCATTTGAAAATTATGCTTAAATTAAGTGCTTTATGCTTGTAATAATTTGGAAAATTTAAATATTTGATATTTGTGATTGTTAATAATTCATTTAAGTGATTTAAATTTGTGAAAAAAAATTTCATTATATTTTCATATATATATATTACAAGAAAAAGATATAAAAGATAGAACAATAATATGTACTATTAAAAAAACAGGGTGTTAATATGCTTGGATTTTTTTTTTTCTTACCTTGATAACATGCTTGGAGTGACTAAATGCTAATTTGCATGGAGGCAGGCTTTTTCAGCGCCGCCCCGCTAGGCCTGCAACGGGTGGCACAAATTATTGGCTTTAGCCAAAATTAATCATGATACTTTATTTTCATAAATAAGTACTTACCTAGGCGCTTCTGGAAGCTAAATAACATTCATTTAATTTGGATGATCTTGGGCATGC